CAGCAATGTTCAAACGCAGAGAAACTTCCTTCGTGGTTCACGGTGCATTTTCTTTGCTGGCCTCTGGTTTTTAAATGTCCGGGTGAACAGAGGATACGTTGGATGAAAACACTTGTACATTATCTTGTCCATGAATTTCTTTACACCCGATAGGTTTCCTTCAGTAATGGTGATCACGATAGGCCAAGTAATGAAGTTTTAATGTGTATATTTTTGTTTATGAGAGAGAATAATCGTCCTTTTTGTGCATTGTTTTGGCTTAAAATGTTTGAGTTCGTGGCAGCAGTAACTTAAGATGCTTGTTGTGATGTTTTTAGGTATTTCTTTGCAGTGAAATTGTGGAATAAAGTGAAATTTGCGAACGTTCGAAGGTTCAAGTGAGAATAAAATGTTTGGATGAGGTCACTGTGAGATGTTCCCGTCGCACAAGTCTTCACAACTACAAACAAGGAAGTGAGTTTGGTATGGATCAACATTTTGTGCTGGAAACTACAATGATTGGACAAAATTGCACAGAATTCACTGGGATTTGGTTGAATTTGTTATAATCTTTGCGATCGCAGCTTCCTGGAAGGACTGGAATAAGATTGGTGTGGCTCCAGCAGTTGATGCAGATGTTGTCGTTATGAAGAGTTCATATTTTACCCATTTAGTCTTTATCCAGCCTTCACCCGAGGTCATGAACTGGGAGTGACTGAAACAAATTACACATGGTGGCAAAAATGATCTTTGTACAGAATGAGAGTTTGTTCAGTATGTTTGTTGAGTATGTTCCAACACGTCTGGGTTTTGAGAAAAGAGAGAGGGATTATATTATTTAATAGTAACATAGAGAAAAGGGGGGAAGCTCTGTTTAGGTTTAGGAATAATCGTGGGAAGAGAAACAGTAAATATTTAAGAATGTCAGGATGCGGTGGCCTTCTTGTTGTCCCTGTTATCATGAAATGAAACAGAAATTAAAAGCTGGATTTTAAATATGTAGTTTTAAATTTCTTCTCTCTCCTTAACTAAGTATTTTTAGAAGAGTTTGTTCTGAACTATAAGGCAAAGAATCCCAAATTGATCACCACAGGACACTCCTGCTGTACGGGGATGTGCCGGAGTCGTCGTTTTAAATTAGTGTTAATCTCTTAACAGCTTTCTGAAGCTCTCTCAGGGGAAACAGGAGCCTGAGGTTTGACTTACTGCTGTCGCCTCAAAAATAGAGTCTCTGTAAATTTAGTTTGAGGTGTCTGGGGGTCAGTGTTACACTCTTATTTCTTTCTTTTCATACACACTTTGTTCCTAATTCGAGCCTTTCTCGCCCTGTTTACACTTTAGAGCAGAAGGAAGGACAGTTTATGAAGTTAAAACTGAATTAAATTTGGGCCTGTGCTCGTCCTCATGAGTGCTGCTGCTTGATAAAATACATGCCGTCGTATTTTTAGCTCTATTACGAGCGGTTTTAATTTTAGCGCCTCGGGACTGTGAGTTACTCGGTTCGACCTGACGCAGCGAGCAAAGAGAAAGCTGGACTCGCCGGCGTTCGGCTGACATTTTTAGCACGGTGATAAAAGAAAATCGGCATGTTCTCAACAGGTACTGCTGAGGGTTCGACGTCCAATAAAACAAATGTATTAGGATTTAATAGCTGCCGTGTGCACGAGGCTCCACTCTGAACTCATTCACCGTCTTCCTCTTCCACATTTATAGTTCGGCCCGGTGTTGACTTTGTGTTTGATTACGTCTGGATTATTTCTGACGTCGTCTCCTTTGCTGTAGATCTCCGGTTGCATTTGTACCAGGTCTTTTTTTTAAATTAGCATACTCACAACCTCAGATCTTTCTTTGATCTTCGCAGACAAGTGAGGTCGTTAAACACGAGTTGACTGACGTCACCTTGTCACCTCGTATTGAATTTCTAGAAGCTTCTTCGTGACGTCCACGTGCAGCTTTAAAGGGTCCAGCGTTTAGGTTTTAGTGGCATCTAGCTGCAGATTGCAACTCCATCGCAATTCAACGTAGACTCCATGGAAGGCGACCCGCGATATAACATAAAATATATAATTTTAAGGTAACGAAAACACAACAATTCCTCTATTCAGGTGATTTTACACTAATGAAAACATACCTGTATGAATATTATATTCGATTTCCACCAACAGATCCTCCTAAATGTTACACACTGGACCTTTTTAAACAGGCATTCAGACTGTAAACCCCCCTGCGAGGCTTCGCCGGTGGGGCCTTGTTGTTTCAGGTAGCGGTGAGAAAATAAAACGTGATCCAGGAAGTCTGGTTGTAGTAACAGATTAATGCTTATGGAGGCTTATCAGACACCAAAACAATGCACAGAGGACTGTAATACTTTACAGCTCTGGGAACTTATCGCAGAGGCAACATTTTTATCTTTTCTCACAACAACTGTAGGGTAAACAGTAGAGATACGTGTTCTGGTTATAAAGTAATTACCAGGATTACCAGTGTGCTTGCATGTGATTGGTCAACGTAGTGTTTTTTTTTGGGCGACCCATTGTGTTTTCTCCGCTCGAGGAAAGTTTTACAAATATAAAAACTCACGATAGAAAGAGTAATAACAGACCTTGTGTGCAGTCCGACGTCTCTTTTATAGCGGGAAAATACACTGCAATAGCGCGAGTGGCCACTGGGCAAAACTGGAAGCATTCGGGCTGCATTTGAATTAATTCAAATGAACTGTGTCCTATTTATTTACAATTCATACAAACTCTTTGGAAAAAGCGACAGCCCTGATATGATCAGTTTTTAAGCCTTTGTTACAGATTAAACCCGACACACAACAGTAAAGAAATCAATCAGTAAAATGCTGCTTGAATGAAATTTCACTTTTAATTTCTCCACTGCAGTTCTGAATAC